CTCAGTGAATAAATCCAAAAGTAATCCCAGTAATGTAGATGTATTTGCTGTTTATCATAGGAAGTTAGGACATCTCGCTAACCTTCACTTAGTTACCCTCTCTCCTCTCATACACCTTTATCTGACTCAATATTGTTCTCTTTCCATTTATTTCCTTGTGTGCTATTGGGAAGTGTGACAATTAAAATATTATGCACTTTTGTTCCAGGTTCTTCGTTGATATCAGTTGTCAGTGTCGCTTTTAGAAGCAGCGGTTGTGATTTATGTTTTTAAGTATTTCTTTTTCTAGTCTCATTACCTGCCATCTTTTGCACCAAACCTAGAAATTGTCTGACTCAAGCTTTCAAGTAATAATAATGATAGTCATTATTATTACTTGTCCTTCAGATACCCTTAGTAGAACAAAAAGCTTCAGTAGCACGTCGACATTGCACTCTGTTCTCTGCAGTCTTTTCAACCTGGCTCAACCACTGCGCACAAGCTTTCATTTCTTCCTCACACCATCTCCTCCATGTCACCCTCAAACACCAAACTCGTCGTTTCGCCTTTGGATTCCACTCGAGGGTCTGGTCTGGCCTTTCCTGGCCTGGCGTGTGATGTCCCCAGCCGGTCTTCTCAGTGTACGCCCAATTCAACCCATCTCGACTTTCTTCTGCATATTGTTGGGTGATGGGTTCTTGGTTGGCTGGTTGTCAGGTCCGAGTTCCTTGTTGCTTATTCTTATTATTCTGTCCATCTGACCTTCAGTGTCAGTATGGAGTGAGCGTAGGCGGCAGCTGTTGATGTGTGTCTGTAGTTTGTTGGAATGCTTTTCGTGACGCACCAATTTTCTGAACCAAGCATATAGAAGCAGTGACTTGAGTGACTTAGTGTTGGGAATCGGGATTTTGTTCAGGCTTTATGCTGAGTGCAATATAGTGCAGTGCAGTGCAGTGTAGTGTATTGCAGTGGATCTCCTCACTGATCTGATTTCAGGTTAGTGAAGGCCTGTGTTACTGTTACTGTCTTTCGGATCCTGGCTGGCTTTGACATCGTCATGTGTGCCTGTGCTGCCTGTAGTTGGAACGATGCTGTCTGGGAAGGTAGGTAGGTAGGTAGGTAGGTAGGTAGGTAGGTAGGTAGGTAGGTAGGTAGGTAGGTAGGTAGGTAGGTAGGTAGGTAGGTAGGTAGGTAGGTAGGTAGGTAGGTAGGTAGGTAGGTAGGTAGGTAGGTAGGTAGGTAGGTAGGTAGGTAGGTAGGTAGGTAGGTAGGTAGGTAGGTAGGTAGGTAGGTAGGTAGGTAGGTAGGTAGGTAGGTAGGTAGGTAGGTAGGTAGGTAGGTAGGTAGGTAGGTAGGTAGGTAGGTAGGTAGGTAGGTAGGTAGGTAGGTAGGTAGGTAGGTAGGTAGGTAGGTAGGTAGGTAGGTAGGTAGGTAGGTAGGTAGGTAGGTAGGTAGGTAGGTAGGTAGGTAGGTAGGTAGGTAGGTAGGTAGGTAGGTAGGTAGGTAGGTAGGTAGGTAGGTAGGTAGGTAGGTAGGTAGGTAGGTAGGTAGGTAGGTAGGTAGGTAGGTAGGTAGGTAGGTAGGTAGGTAGGTAGGTAGGTAGGTAGGTAGGTAGGTAGGTAGGTAGGTAGGTAGGTAGGTAGGTAGGTAGGTAGGTAGGTAGGTAGGTAGGTAGGTAGGTAGGTAGGTAGGTAGGTAGGTAGGTAGGTAGGTAGGTAGGTAGGTAGGTAGGTAGGTAGGTAGGTAGGTAGGTAGGTAGGTAGGTAGGTAGGTAGGTAGGTAGGTAGGTAGGTAGGTAGGTAGGTAGGTAGGTAGGTAGGTAGGTAGGTAGGTAGGTAGGTAGGTAGGTAGGTAGGTAGGTAGGTAGGTAGGTAGGTAGGTAGGTAGGTGAAAGAGTCAATTTTCTTTAGGTTTCTCCCGTTGATGGTGATTGGTGCTCGCTGTTGTTTGGTGGTTGGGTATCTTCTTCACCTCTGTCTTCTCTACGTTCACCTGAAGGGAGTCCCGTCTTCCTTCACTGCCTCTCCTCTTCTGTCGACTTGTTAGTTTTCGCCAGTAGATCTTCTAGCTTGTCCGACATTAGACATAAATTGTCATCGGCTAAATCCAAATCTTCTTCTGTGAGGTGATTTCATCGGTCCAACCGGCGTATGTCTCTCTTCTCGATCCTCATAGTTTGTTGCATGGCGAGTCTAGTCTACCACAATCAGGAATGTGATGGATGATATTGGTCGGCAGCCTTGTCTTACTCCTGTCTTCACTTCAAAGGCATCACTGAGCTTTCCATTGTGAATCAGTTGGCTGGCGTGTAGCATGATCTCATCATATAGCTGTTGAATGAGGTTGATAAAGGTTTGTGACACTAAAAGCGTAGTGTTTAAGCAGCTGTCTGTCAAATTACTTTTCGGTCGAGGCTGTCGAAGGTTTTTTCCAAGTCGATGAAGTTGAGTTAATTGCAATTGTAAAGTGTGTTCTATGATGCTGCGTAGCGTTGCAGTTTGACCCGCACATGATTTGTTATTCGTGAATCTAGCCAGCCAGTCAGCTAGGCAGCTAGGCAGCCTGTTCCGGTCATAATGCAGTTGAATGAGGAGCATTGTTCGGTCTCTCTAGGATGATGCAGCTTAGTATATTGGTTTGGATGAACCGTAGGATGATTCCGCTCCAGTTCTTGCAGAGACTCAGATCTCCGTTGTTTGGGAGTTTGACAAGGTAAGGCTTCCTCCAAACAATCTTCAGGTACCTTTCCTTCCTTCCTTCCTTCCTTTCGAACCTTGTGCAACAGTGGTGTGAGTGTGTGCACTGTTGTCTGTGAGTCTGTTTTCAGTGCTTGTGGAGGAATTCCATCTGGTGCTGCTGCTTTCCTGGCTTTCAGCAACTTCATGGCGTTCACGACTTCACTTCTGGTTTTTCCGGATGGTTTGTATTAACTGATAGTTGTATGGCTGGGATGCTGATGGTATTTGTGTACGAGTTTTGGGTGGTGGTGGTGTGTTGGTGGTTGATTCGTGAGTTTTTCGAAGTGGTCAGGCCATCGTTTCCTTTGTTTCTCCTCTTTGATGGTAACTAGGTTTCCTTCACTATCTTTCATTGGTTTCATCTGTGTTGATCTCTCATCTCGCAGATAGTAAGCTGGTTATTTGATGTGATGTTTTCAGGTCTCTGTCCCTCCTACCTGCTGTCTGTTCTGCTTCACTTGCAAGTGTATCGTAGAAGTGTTTTTTGTCTTTCCGTTCACTCTTCTTCACTTCCTTGTCCAGTGCTTTAAAGGTTGTACTCAGTTCCTCTTTTTGTTGTTCATCCCTGTGCTGCACTACACTGCACTGCACTGCACTGGGTCATCTTCTGCTTCACCATCACCATCTTCCTCTCCCTACTCTATCAGCTTCCATGTATCCGTCGAGATCCATTCCTTGTCTTGCTTCATCTTCCTTCCTAACACGGTTATGCAGGTTTCCTTCCACAGAGTTCCAGTGTGCTTCCACGCAGGTTTCTCTGGGATACTGCTTAATGTCTCCCATTTTTTCCTGATGACTGGCTGACGTGAAGATGTCCTTTGTAGTTTCGTCCTTCAGTTCATCTTTTGTTCTGGGTGATTGTTCAACTTGAACTGTGGTCTATCACCAACGTCTTTGATTTTGGTTTCCAACTTGGATTTGAAGGTAGGTTCCTTGCACTAGATAGATAGTGAGTGGTGTGAACCACCTACATCTGCTCCTCTTCTTGATCTGATCTTGTGTCCAGTATGCTGGCTGCGTCTCCACTTTCTTCACATTGAGATGAAGTCGATCTGATTTTTAGTGTAGTGTGTTCTGGTGTCTAGTGAAATACATGTCACTCGCTGCCTTGTGAATATCCTTGTGTTTGTACACACTACCTCGCCTCCAATCACCAAATCATTAAATGCTCAGAAGTCTGCAAACAGTTCGTTCTCCATTATCACTCATCATTTCACCAAGCGCTTCTCGACCCATGGTTGCTTCTCTTCCTGTGTTGTCCGCTCCCAGTTTGGCATTCATGTCACCCCACCGATTAGAATGAATTTCGACGTCGCCATCTGGAGTGGGTTGTGGTCTTGTCTATTGCTGATTGGAGTTGTCTGTAGAATTCCTCCTTCTTCTCTTGATCCGCATTATTTGTAGGTGAGTAGGGTAGGGTATGGTATGGTGTGGTATGGTAGCGTAGCATTGTATGATTGTGACTTTCCTTCGTTTTGAGTTGAATCTTATTGTCATGATGGTGATGGTTGAGGAGATTGGTTCCCACAGCATGAGAGAGAGAGAGAGCCTTCGGTGGTGTTGTGGACATCATGATAGCCACTGGAAAACTCAGTGTGCTGTGCTCGTGGTTGTCGTCTGGATGACAATGTCGGAGTAGATCACTGACTCTCCAGTTGACAGTTAGGAGAGTCCACTTCCATTCCATCTGGTTTCGCAGATTGCTAGCCTAGCACTTCTATGCTATTACCCTCTCATCTCTTTTGCAATCTGGACAGCCTTTCCAGGCAGCTTCAAACATTGTGTGGACATTCTATGTCCGTATATTTACTTTTGCTCTCATTGATAGAAGAGAAGACACATTGGTGAATCGGCTTCCTGAAGTCTTTCAGCGACCGGGCTTATTTTGTCTCCCCGATTCCAGTGAGGATTAAGTTTATTTTTATTCTCTGTGTTTTCTTTGTGCTTTGAATTTTGTTTGGCGGTTGGATTAGTTTTCTGGGGTGGGGTGTTAGCCCCATGCCCCACTTTCCATCTTTACCCTGGCTTAGGACTGGCTAATGAACTAGTAAACTAGGCAAGGTTGGCTGAAGGTTTGGTTTTCAGTTTATTACTCTTTCAAGTCTGGTAGTCATAAAGGGCTGAGGTAGATCTTGTATTTAGACCGCAGTGGCCTTAGTGACCAGCAAGTAAGCGATAACTTATCATTTTTTCCACGGCTTATTTTTAAGCGTCTACTCGCATGATAATTGGTAATGTACATTCTCTTACGTTTTCTAACTATTAGAATTTCCTTTTCTCCAGGTGCTTTTTTTCATCGAAGATTGGAGTTTTCATAATGGTAATTAAACTTATTTTTACATTACTATTATACTTGTGATTTTCGCAGTCTGCTTTGTTCAACTTTCAAAGCCTTTTAAGCGTCATTCTGTTACTTATATGCACATGTGCATACGTTAGACATTTCTCTCCTGCCTTATTGGACTCACGCAAGCATGGGTAGGTTAAATGTTTGTTTTATATGACTTAAATTCAAGGCTTTTGGGTCTGTTTTGGAAATGTGCGAGAATTGGTTAGTTTTATTCAGTACTATCATTTAATATAATCATGTGACTTTGTAGGTGAACGCAAAAGCCCATATGTTGCAGTTTGTTGCATCGCAATGGCGTGTGCAGTACTTTTCAATTCTTGATCGTTGCATGATTAATATATAAATACAATTTTCTACGAAATCTTTACTACTTTCTATCGCTTTGTATGATTTTCTTTACAACAGATTGCCTTTTTCAGGTTCCATACTATGCCGTTACCGTTTTCTGGCAACCTAATCATCCCTTTTGCCAACATTGGATTCGGAAGAAAATTTGCCCACATTGCTAATCCTTACCGTCAACCTAAATCTAAGATAAACGTTGTGAGTATTATCGGCTGCCTAATGTTTGTGCTGCCATTTGTATGGATCGGTTATGATAAAGTCAATGGTATAGACCAGGAGCCTAGACTCACGAAATGACTGGTCGCTGTGTTTATGTAGAAACTAGTATGTAATGTAGAATGAATAAATCGTCTGTCAAATTTTACTTTTCACTATCATATCTTGAAGATTTTGATTTACTGCACTTATCTTTATCTTTTATAGATATAATGAACTTGCTTTTAGGTCGAAAAGCTTCATTTTACTTGCGAAGTTGTTTTCTAAATAACGCCGATGCGTTCACCAGAACTCGTTTTTCTACCGTTTATAATTCGCAGTGCTGTTGCATTCCTACCAGTATGAAAAGTAGAACTGATCACCACAAACAGCATTCATGTATTCATACCCAGTTACTATTCAGGCATCTATCTTATCGTCCATTTAAAGGAACAGAGAGCTCTGGTGGCTCCAATTTTAATGATGCACTATTTTCTACTGTGGCAGTTGTCGTACTACTTGGCGGGTGTTTTGCTTTTAACTGGTACATCAACAAGATGCCTGATTGTAGCATGCCAAAAAGAAGTCTGATAACCCACAGTTAGTGTTAATATTTTTTCAATCTTCACTGGGTAGTTGATGTTTTTCATGTTTCTGTTTGTTGTATTCCAAGAAGTTTTTGGGAGATATTAATCACTTCGGTTCATGAAATACTGCTTATTTTGTGGTGTTGTATTATCTAAACTGACTATTCAACTAACGTACTTTTGTTATTGCACTAAAAAAATGTTACCTCAGGAAACTTCTGTAGGGTGGGCTGCCAAAATGTCCCCGAAACAAAAAGACACTAAAAGCGAAGCAGAATCGTACTCAGATTATGAAGAATCCTTCTTAAATATTTCCGGTTAATCTAAGAAATCCAGTTTGGGGCAACTATTTTTTACTTACTCTGTAATTCTTTACTGCATTCACTTTGTAGGTAGTATTTTTTCATTTTTACCATCTCTGTTAACAACTACGTACGCTAGGCTAACCACTGATCATGCCAATAACTTCACAGAGCATCTTGTTAGGAATTTTTTCATAAGGTTAAACATTTCCTTCAATTGTATATCAGTTAGGTATTCAGAAGGACTCTTTGTAAAAATAACCTTTTGTGTACACTTACAACAAAGGCTGTGATGTGTTATTGTGCATCCCATATTATGAGAAATTTTCGTTAGCACTGATAGGCGATATGAATAATAGCTACTTTTTGGTTCAGTATAAGGTGGAAAACGGATGTGCACATACGACATTTTTCAAAGCGAAATTAGCCAATGTTGAGTTGCATAGATTATATTTAGGTAATCAAGTTTCAATAATTTGAGCTACTACTTATTATTAAGTTTCAACATCCTTGCATAGTAGGTGTAGTAATTACTACCAGTGTTTGGTACCATCTTCCGTACATATTTTGTATTTAGCTTTACTGCTGTTTCAAATTATAGCCGTACGATCTCTGACTCTATATTTCAAGTTAATGCGAGGAAAGTAACATCAGCTGAACTTAACAGCACAGGCAAATGGGTGTTGCGTAATGTTAAATATAAAGAAGACTTTTGTGTATTCATTTCTCTTTGTTCACTGTCCAATGGGATGAAATATCAACACCATTATGGTAAGCTGGTTTTTCAAATTTGCACATATCATGATATGCGAAAATGTAAATGTGAACCATTACATCAATGAGTCGATCAAGACATTCGTAGACTAAAATGATCTTTATTTCCATGGTATTATGGTTTACATTGCACGTAGACAGAAATCCTGTTGAAAAATGATGAGAAATACTTTACTTCTAGTTGCCTTTATTTTGTTTAATGCCAGTGCTATTATTAATGGGCTATAGATTGTCGACCGTTTTTCAAGGGATGGAATCATACGAGAAGCTATCATAGCAAAATATAAACTGAACCGTCAGATTACTTGTTACTATTGTATCTGAAAATAAGTGATTAGTTTACCGAAGATTCGTATTATTAACACATTGCTCGTTACCACATTTTTTAGTTGGCAGTGAATTCATCAAACTAGAACATATGTCAGCAGATAGTTTGTAGGGATGTACTGTTTGATGAAGCAAAGTTTTTGTAAATTTGATCACTATAAATCTGTGCTCATAAAAACTACTATCTCGTAGAATCAAAAGTGTAAGTGCTTGTCTACGCTAAAGTGTTGCATTTTTTGGTTGCCCTCATGGTCAGTAAAAGAAAAATCGAAATGCGTTCAATAACCATGTTTACGTTCGTGCAGGAGACAACAAGTTACACCTATTGTATGAAGGCGGTGTTTGAACACATAAAACTGTTTGGTAGCTGAGTATCTAGACCAATGAGCCACAGCTTCTCGTCAGTAAGTGTTTCATTTTCATATTTTAATTGAAGTAACTAGATATCTTAGTATAGGCAACTAATTCAGGGTACACAGCATCAGTGTAAGCAATGCTTACCTACAAATATTCGGGCAGCCAGATGGTATTGTCAACACTGAGCGGCATTATTCAACAGTATCTCTTCCATGAAGTGTATCAACAATTGTGACAGAACCAGCTGGATTCGTTAAACTTCACAATTGCATCACAGGATCTGCTTACTGTTCTATTTGTCGGTTATGCTACAGTGTCCCTAGATTTCTTGTGATATTCCGTCTTGGTTTACTTTATTTTGTATACATTCACATATACTCATTTTCAGACGTTTATCAGTTATATTGTGTAAATGAAATCCACACGTGCATTTAGCAAATGTCTTGTCAGATAACAATTTATTCACACGACTATCATTGGTAGTGCCTACGCATTATCCTTTCTACTTGGGATTATTCTTTACTTATCCTTTTTCTTATCAAGGCCTATATCTGAAGCATTACCGGTGTCAGATGTATCAAGAGAATCCGAGATTCGTATCTCTGACTCACCTCCGGATATTCTTCCATTGCCTGATGAAACTACAAATCCTGTTGTCTCTTCGCATGCTAATACAGAGCAGCAAGAGAATAATTTGAAATTTGTTGCTTTGCAAACTGGGGAATCCGAAGGAGATGTAGTTAAACCAGTGATGGATTCAGAATTTCATGACAAAGGTAACCAACTAGTATTGTATCAAAACGATGTTATATATTTCCTTCTGATATATGTATAATTCCGTGTTCTGGTTAACGTTTACTGGTGAAACGTGTTGTGTCTGCTACTCTTAAAAAGTATCTGTGGCTTCTTGAACCTATATTTTGCAGTGATTGAAGTTTACTAGCAAAGGCCGTCATAATTTCTATAGATTTCAAACTATGATCCTAGAAAGAATGCCGTTTTTTGGCCAGTGGTAAAGTAATCCATAGTTTGCAAGTAATATCTAACTGATAGCTGCTACCTTGACTTGATGATCAGAGTTGCATACCACAATGACCCAATGGGATATGCCGGCTGGAGCTATCGCTTTTTGAGGTTCTGCTGCGTTGAAGATGTTTGTTAGAGGGTGAGTACACTGAATTTGGTTGTCATAATTTGCTCTTTGGTACGGGGTGGAGAGAGCTGTACAGGCTTAACGACGGACAAATGTTCTTCACAAATAACTAATATTCTGGACGGGTGCTACCTTCCATTGATCGCGAGAAGTCGGGAAATTTTGATCTCAAAGATCATACTTCTTCCTATATGATATACTCCTGGTGGCACACCAAGGTAGGAAAGTAACACGATATCTGGATCAAACTCAAAAATGTCGTATGTGACCATCTTCAAGCATATTTTTCGTGGCTTCTCCAGGTCGATATAATCATCCTTATTAACTCACTCTCTTTTTAGGATATCTAAAAAAGAAGTAACGTTTCACGGTCAGGCAGTAGAAACGTTTCAGCTGTCCCCTAAGCACTGTCAACCCTCCACATTATCGCCTTCTAAACTTCCCACTTCTCTTTTTGTTAGTTCTACGTAATTTTTAATTTCTACTGGCTCTGCAACTCAATATGATGATTTGAGGTCGTGAAGTGGCAAATATGGTCTCCTGAAGTCTTGCTCCAAACTACTGCTAAAAGCTGCATACTCTGACAATCGTGGTCTTTTTGGAGCTCACTGTGAACTATTAAGTGGGTTGTCTAGACCAAGTTATTCCCAGACGAACTTGTCGAAGTTTTCTTCTCATTTGACTTTACAAGAATTGACCGCATTCCAAAAGATTCCTTGGTAGACTTAGAATACTCAGGTGGTATAGTCGTGTCATATAAAAACGTTGATACATTGATTAACTATTGCGAAATGTTTGCAATACGTTTCTCACCTACCAAATGTAAATGTTTGCTTCTAAACTGATCTCCGTTAATACCTCATTTGACAGTATGTAGTAAAGCTATTGTGAATTTCGGATACTTCACTTACCTGTTAAGTCAGATTAGCTGGGGTGATTTCGTAGTCAATGTAATTGCTTCACTTTGCTTTTGCAGTTCAAATTGGAGGTTCTAGGTGTTCGACCACCATTACGTTCATAGCATGCGCCACACGTCACAGATTCACAACTTAAGCGGTGTAGGGGGGGGGTAGGTAGGCGTTGAGTTTTATTTAAGTTTTCGTTGACGAAGTAGTAGACACGTACTGCACACACATACTGGGACTCTGGACGTAACTTGAAGTAAAGTTAGGTTGCAAAGGTTAGTAGTGACTAGAGTAAAACATGACAGAGTTCATGGAGCTTCTGAGTTCTGATATGTCTGTGAAAAAAATGAAGACCTCTAAGACAAGCTCATCACGACAACTAAAATTGATGGCTAGGAATTCTAGGTGCTTTGACTCGATTGCAATGGCACTTCATCTTCATCTTGACCACTGTCCTATTTTGATATTTGCATAAATACCTCTCTTTTTTGCATACCCTTTTACAACTTTCATCATATCATTCCTTTTACTTTCATCTTGCTGCCCTGCCCTAATGCGAGTTTGTGTCAGCACGCCGTTACGCTGTTATGTCATGTACGATGTTGACATTAGCTGATAACATGAAACAAGTGTAACTCAGTAACATAGTTATCAATTAATACTATCAGTCAGTCAGTCTTGAAGCATAATAATAAATAATTTTTATGCACAGGATCTTATACTTAGCCTTTAAACATAGAAGTAACATTTATATTCTGTAGAATGCTACAGCCTGTCTTTGTACCTACCTTTTTAAGCACAAGTTCGTTAGATCATTTATTAGCGTGGACCCAGTTTTTCTCCACATTCGCTCTCGACTTCTCCAGTTTGTCAGTTCCTGTTTAGTTTACATTAATATCGTCATTGAGTTAGTCCTATCGCATTTCTGATGACCTTAATTTATGCCACTTAAGGTATTCTCGTTTATTCAAAAGCTTTCCGTCCTTTGGAAGGGTCATAAAAGTAAGACTTGGTTAGTGTTATTCGATTTTGCACACACACAGTATTGTTTACTGTATGTTTTCAGCCAAATTCTCTGTTCATTATTACATTAAAGTAATTGCACTTCTTTCCACACTTTGTGGTTGCGGTGATATGACTATGAGCGATAAATTCTGCTCGAAACATCTTTCAGTAAACGTTACTGTATCTCTGCGTGCTTTATTAGATAAATAAATCTCATATGGACTTGACCAAAACGCATTTTCAGTCTTATTCAACGTTAAATCCAAATATTTGTTCATTTTATGCGTATTTTATTGCTACTTGGTTTCTGGGTTTTCTCTGAGACTTTAATCGTCCCTATTGATTTGTACCAACATTTAGTTCCTGAAACACTGGTGTATATCAAACCTGAAGACAAAATGTTTCCCGTACATGTCCCGTATATTATTGTTGGAGCTGGTGCCGCAGGAATGTCAGCCGCTCGTTCAATTCGCGCTTCAGATCCCGCTTCCAGAGTTCTATTAATTGCTGGTGGTAGTGGGTCGAGTAGAACAGCTGAGCCGGGGATTGAAGAAACATCTTTTGTTGAACCACCACCTTACTTAAGACCACCCTTAAGTAAAGAATTATGGGGTCGAGTACCAAGTAAAGAAAAAAAACTACTTCGAAGTGATGGGGATATTCGTCGACACTCATGGCTTTACTACGAACCAGATAGCTTCTTTTTAAAGCCGGAGGAGTAAGGTTTTGCACATTATGTAGACTTTTTCTTGCATCAGAAGAACAACTTTTAATTTTTAATGATAAAACTAGATCTTTGTGGATTTCGGTATTTATGTAGAAGTCCTTGTATTTTTGTATGCTAATGTCACACTTTTTCTGTTTCTGCTTGTGTGGAGTAGACCGGTTAAGTATTTATAGCTACTGATGGTAAATAAGTAATTGTGTAGTGACGAGTTATTACTATTATTTTTATTACTATTAATTTGTTACGGGTAAATGACTAAGTTCTAGACATCAGTCTCATGCTTCTCCTCTTGGTATTTGCGTGATGCATTAACAGTCAGAATAAGAGTATGTATCACATTTTCCCTAGATCGTTTTCATCAAACCGAGAAAACTCAAATTCGCAGGTCAAAATAAGTTCATTTTATTCCAAGGTTTCTCTTCAGCTACTGACACCCTGAAAATAAATATAAACAATGAAATTAGAGCATACATTTTTGTTGAACAGAAGGAACATAAAAATTAGTTCAATTTTGAAAAAAGGGAAACACAAATGATAGTACCACAAATGTAGGTGGAGCAATCCCGTCCCTCTATCCCACCCTATTGTGTGCATAGCTATAGCTGAGCTTTTCTGTAAATTTCTTATCTTACTAGGATCTTCTAATCTTGATTTAGCTAAGCTTTTGTGCTGTTATTCTAACTGACCGTGGGCGACTACTTTGACGTATGTATTTAACCTCTCAATCATTGCAAGAGATTTGGTACACCAAATTATTTTGCCTAATTGGATCAGTGGGATCTTTTAACTTACAAAGCTTGTTTTTAAGCGAGTTTAGTGATTACGATGCTACTATAATTCTAGCCTTATTGAAGATTCTTCACAACGCTTCTGAGGTGCCTTCTTTTTATGGTGACACAGTGGAAGCTTTGAATTTTCTCTCAACCCTGTCACCACTATTACTATTATTAGTAGAATTATTATTAATAACACGTGTTACTACTACTATTGCTCATATTTTTCTTTTAATTTATGAAATTATTTATAAATTTAAGTGGGTAATTATTGAGACGCAAGGTATTTTTGATGTGCCTAATTTCTTGTCGCAGATTCTCTGGCGGGCTAGTAAGCTTTTTTACCCTATTACTTAAGCACTTAACTAAGCCTATTTGAATTGAAATGGGATGCGATAATTTGAAGCCTAAGTAGTGATTCGAATGAGAAGGTTTTCTATAAACACCAGTCTCTAGACATTCATCGTGTTTTCGTATAATCTTCCAGTTCAACTATGGGACATTTCTAATAAACAGACTAAAATGGAATTATATCTGTTTCGATTGGTCATTCAATGCGTTTTGTTCATGAGCTGTTTATGACCCCCATTTCACAACTTGACTTCTGTTTCAATTTATTGTTTTTACATTTTCCAGAGAAGTTTGTGTGTTGGCTAATTCTCTTTACATTTGTGTCTACTCTTTTCCTGCATGCACAAAGTTTAAATTCCGTACAGTATGGTGGAGTTGCTCTGCTTCGAGGAGATCCTGTCGTTCGTCTGGATCCGGACAGTCGAAGAATTTTTTTGGCATCCGGTCTTCAAATAACTTATGATCGGTGCCTTCTAGCTACGGGAGGATCACCACGACGTTTGAAGGATTTTGAAACATGCAGTCAAACGGGAGCGAATTTAGCTGATACAGGACATGTGTCTTATTTCCGTAATATGGCGGATTACAAGTAGGTGATCATTGCAATACTCGTGTAATATTTGGATGCACATTACTCCCAACTTTTTACAAAGCTACTTTTTAACATGATCATGTATGCATAATTTCTGTCTGAAATTGAAGCTTATCTACAAACTGCTCATCTCATTTAGCCTTATGGTGTGAGTAAACATCTTCATCCAGCTGTATTTTAGACTGAGTCTTTTAGGTGCTTGATTTTATACTATTAGTTTGTAGGTTCGTATGCCTTACCAACCTGAAAAGGTTTCAGTAGCTAGTTAGTACCATTAGCCCACGCCTAAAAATATGGTTCATAACCTTTACACGGTTGTCAAGTTGCGTTTCTGTAAACTTTGGTTGGACATTCGCAGGTTTTCTTCAACGTTATACTGACACAACCGATTCCTTATCAAATAAGTAGATCCTTATGATTTCTGTTTCTATGGTATCCTAATGTCAATTTACTGTTTTCTCTCATGAAGATTAAATAGTATAGTTTGACCTGTCTCGTTCTTCTTTGTTTTTATGACTTCAGATATTGGGTTGATGCAAGTGCGTCTCAGGCAAGGCATATGAAACCAACTAAGTGAACTGATCAGTATTTTTTTTATATCTAACTTGATACTGGTTCTGATCATTAAGTGTCAGCTGAATAAACAAAATAATGAACCATGCAGACCATTAGGTTACTTAGAATTAGTGTATAGTTCTAATTGCTTCCTAATTGTACCATATTCGATAACTGTTTAGAGACCATAGCTAGCTAATTCCGAAACCCGACTATAGGATGATTTATTGTTAATATTGTCGACTTCGTGTATGAGCATTCCTCTATTTTTTGTAGTATGATGTGTCAGTCATTTTCCCACTCCTAAAAGTACTATTGTTGACTAAGCATACCAAATACTTTGATATTTATGCATAAGGGATCTATGATGCCTAGTGATCCTCAGTGCACATAGTTTGAATCTTCCTTGCTGATTTTTATGTAGTAGGTCTTGGAGACAGTTGCCAAATGCTTTTATCTCAAACTTTGAGTCATGGGTTTCACTATTGGCGTACTTCTCACTTCATAACATGATGGCACAGTTATTTTGAAGGCTAACTGATTTATTTAGATTCAAATACTGTATCCTATATAATTTACAACTTCATATCAGTCGTGACGAAAAAGCGATGTGTTCTTTCATTGGTTATCACCTTTTTATACTGTGAATTGGTTCTTTTTCAAATTCGAGTTGATTACGTCATTGTCCATAGGTGGTAACTAGATAGTGTTCGCCGTTATCATTCTAGCAGTATTGTGTAAAAATAACAAACAGATGGAATACTGAATAATCTGAAAAAAGCAAATGCACAAACCATTAAGAGTGGTATCAGAAAGCTTACTCATATTTACCTTTAATCATTGAATTGTGAAATCCACTCAGTAACACCTTGTGCGCATATCCGTGCAGTAGGCAATGAGCCACATTTGTTGTGTGAGGGTTAATGATATTACCTGGCTGTTCAAATCCTCGGTAAGTAAAACTGTGTTTGAACTCGTGACCCACTGGTTGAAAGTCATCTCCCTAAACCACATCGCCACTAACCAGAACATAATTGGACTGTGTATACTTTTGAAGGATAACTTCATAAAGATGTAGCTTTGAACTTAATCAATGGTATATACTTTTACGAACAGTTGTGTATTGTGTTACTCCAAAATTATTTAAAAGTCTGACGCAAATGTGCAAAGGGTAAGCTAATTTGGAAATGGAAACATTACTAGAAATGATACAGCATTTTGTTGGAGAATTGTAGGGAATGAAATCCGTTCTGAGTGTTTCTGTTTATGAGGTAGTTCAACTTGGAGTTTATATCCATCTTAAATTGCACAAGTATTTCACTATGCCCTTTTTTCTAATTCTAGTTTTATAGGTTTCTCTCCATTCGTTTGAAAATTAGTGAATTGCTCAATTAAAACAAACAAACGAAGTGAATGTTACATGCTTAAATTTCCTTGAACAGTGCTTTCGACTTCTGTGTACACCAAATATGAATGAAAACCACTTCGGAACAACACTGAAATACTCAACAAATAGTTTTGCATTGATCTGCACCAATATTTGTGGTCATATTTTTACATTCGGTACACGTCACATGTTAATGTTTGTAATCAAAGTACAGGACTTTGATCCCCATTGTAGTATAAAATTCACAAGATGTCATTCTCACTTTTAAGATTTAAATTACTTATGAATTCTGGAGTTATGTTTTGCTTTATTTTTCATAGACGACTTAGAGATATTGCTGATAAACTTCGTCGAACTGGTGGCCAAATAGCTGTGATCGGTGGGGGCTATCTTGGGAGTGAATTATCTATCAGTTTACTGAAGCAACCGAAATCTTCTGATGTGAATATTACTCCTAATTCGAACGATCAAGTGCAATCAAAACTATCTGTTATACATGCATTCCGCGAAACAGTCCCTATGGGTAGTGTATTGCCACCATGTTTAGCTGCTGCTGTTGCACGTTTAGAATCTAGCAAAGGTGTAGATGTATGGAGTTCTTCAGATGTTGTTAGCTTATCACTTATGCCGAATGCCAATCCACATGATACTGTAAAAGGAGAGCACAAATTTATGCCACTGGGAACCGTTACAGCTAACACTAACCCTGAACGTGTTCACATGCGTGTTCGACGTAATGTATCGGGAGTTGAAAGAGTAGAAGAAATAGACGTTGATCATGTTGTTTGTGTTGTAAGTTTCTCTTCATTCATTTGAAAGGAATGAATTGCTTGATTAAAAAACTTAAAAAAACGAATGTGACTTGCTTAGATTTTCTTGACCAGAACTTTTGACATTATATGGTAGCACATTGCTGTAACCAGCTGTATTCATTCTTTGTTTATGAAACAGCTTTTTTCATCGATTTACCGTAGTAATTCCGAATAAATCATATCCATTATCAAAACATTTCAGTGTAATAGTTTTAGAAATCATTGAATAAGTTTTTCTGGATTTTCACATTACACTATAAAATGAATGCAATCGACTGAGGAAGTGTATAATAAATCTAATCTTGGTGTTTTCTCTGGTAACTTAGGAACAGATATCAATCATGCACTAAGTCACCTTGTGTATACCCGTGCAGTAGGCAATAAGGCACATTGTGTGAGGCTTAGTGATACTACCTGGTTGCCCAAATCTCGATAGGTGGAGTGGGTCTCGAACCCGTGACCCAATGGTTGATATTCATATATATATATATATATATATATATATATATATATATATATATATATACATATATATATATATATACATACATATATATATATATATATATATATATATATATATATATAGCTATGATTAATATTTGTGGAACTGCGGGTCAGTCGTTTAAGCAATAAGCACAGAATCTTATGTTTATGATGGTTAAAATTTACAATCGAAATCTGGGTGGCTGCAGAATCCCAACATTAGTCCCCCCCCCCTCAATTACCTTTCCTGCCTACGACTGACTGTTTCAAGTTTTCCACTCAACTTTATTATGCTACCGATTGAGACTATCTCAGTCAGTAATCAAAACAGTTTGTGGTGTTTTTGTGTGTACAAGTTCAAGAGCATCTTATTGAAATATTCAATTTTTCCAAGAGAATTGGTAGAAGTCTGAAGCCTTCAGATACAGACTCGTCGTCTAACGGTTATTTTTGGTTTGATTTCTAATACCACATTACTTCATACTCCAATCAATTAGTCAAAATGTTGTTTCTTTTCACAACCGTGAAATCATAATCTTTCATTCAGAAGTTTAAAATACCGTATAGATTATCGTTAGGTCTAATCTTGTTTCAGTGTTCTTCTTGCAAAAAATAATGATGCATATCAGAGTTTACTTTGGGTCATTGATTGATTCGAAAGGTTCGCATCCAAGGAAAGCGAGTTACCTATATCGAACGCTTTTTAAATGGATCGAAGCTCGAGTTGTTTTACCGCTGTCTTTTTCAGTCTTGTAAAACAGTTCTTGTCGTTGCAAATAGTTTCTCATGCCTTAAATCTGTTTCTTTTTATAGATTGGTATAGAGCCAAATACGGAGCTTTCTTCAGAGGCCGCTCTAGAATTAGATCCTAATAATGGGGGATTTTTAGTGAATGCTGAATTGGAAGCAAGACAAGGTGTTTATGTGGCTGGAGATGCTGCTTCTTATTGGGATCCAGTTATTGGTCGTCGACGTCGTGTTGAACATCTTAACTTTGCTGAAGAATCTGGTTCTTTAGCCGGAAAAAATATGGCTGCGTCATTGTTGTCTGGAAGTAATCCGTCTGCGTACAATGCTGTATCACATTATCAACATCAATCCTCTCTATGGTCTACACTGGGTCCCGAATTGTCATGGGATGCAGTTGGACTAATTGATTCACGTTTACTTTTGACACGATCATTCTTTGCTGCCAACAGTGATGATCTCAACACATCTGATGATAAAAGTTCTGCACCTCGAGCTTTCTCTGGTGTTCCTGATTCTAATATAGGCAGACTCGCCAAAGGAGTTGTTTTCTATCTTACACCGAGAGAAAAAAGGCTCGTTGGCATTCTGCTATGGAATATGCCGGATGAAATGTATACCGATAAAAGTTATCCAGCTCCTGGTCGTTTGAATCTAGCTCGTAGCTTATTAGCTGAACGTCGTATCATTGGCAGTGAAAATTCTTTAAATGATGCAGAAAAAGAGAAACAGGATCTACAAGAACTAGCTAGCCAATTTGATATATATGGAGAGATTGCAGAGGAATATGCACAATTGCAAGAATATATTAAGAAGAAAAGTTTAGATGCTGCTAATCTAGGTGATGATAATAGTAATCATAGCAGCGGTTTTAGCGAAAATGAAGTGGACCGACCCTTAGGTAATTCTGTGGACAGTAAACCTTCCAATGATTAGTAACCTATTATGCACTCATTGTATACACATCACTTGAGCATTTAAATAAGAATCCAGTGAAATAGATCATAGTTTTGTTACTTCTGCTTTATGTATGATGCTTTCATGTGAAATTTTTGAAGTTTGATTTGTTTCTTGCAGCCAGCAATCAAATAAATATTGAGAAGAATACTTTGACTCTTCCTTTGTTTGTTTGACGTGTTGTTCAGATAAGGAAGGTGATAAAAGTTTTGATGGAATATGTAATTGCCCAGTTGTATTGTCTACCAGTGAGTTCAATACATTGTTAGTATGTGTAGTGTTGACTGTGATTTAGTATTCACCGAGTGGGAGGTGAGTCTGTTGTCATGCTGAAGTGAAGCATCTTGTGTAGTTCAATTTCATGAAGTGCCATCATCAACATACAAGAAAAGAGTTCTGTTGGCATGACTGAGTTATTTAATTGATTTCAAGAATTCCCTTTTTTTAAATATAAGTTTTAATATAATTCCGGTGTGTTTAGAAAATCAAAACAAGTTTTTTCTGAACGTTTTGCTGTGTATCCCACAGCTTTTTCAGTAGAATATTCAGATTTTTATTAAACGCCAAAATATATGCCGTCAAATGGTACATCTAACAATTTCTATATTTATGCCATTGGTTAGCATGGCATATTCTATACTAGAATCCCAAATAACCTCTTTTCTCCCGGTGTAAGATAGAAAATAACTCCCTTGGTGAGTCTACCTATATTAGGATCAGGAACACCAAAGAAGGTTAAGCAATGGCGTAAATACTGAAACTGTTACATGTATCGTTTAACAATATATATTTTGATGTTTAATAAAAATCTGAATATTCTGCTGAAGAAGCTGTGACACACGCAAATAGTTTTGACTAAATACCATATAATACTTAGTTGTCGTATTACTCAATGTGTGATGGAAGAATATTTTCGGGAAGATTTGTAAGGGCGTCGTCGATTGCTTATTGCACTTGGCTACTAAGTAATATTCATCGGGTTCAATTACACTCTATATGTTTCTTTGCAAGCAGTTGGTTATATTCGAACACGTTACATGTTAAATCTAATTCCTTAATTCGTGCTTTTGTACTCTCTTTTTTTCACCACAAATCACTAGGTATTATTGTTCATATTTATACTGTGTCACATATCGAGAACTCACTACCGCTATGACTGGCTGACAAAATCAACACCGAACCTCACACACAGGTGCATTGGCTCAAGTTGTCACATTACACAGTAGTACGCTAAGAACTGTCAGATAAAAAAGGTTATATACCACAGTAGGCAAAGTTGTGAGAGAGAACAAGTAGTTCGAAGATCAAGGTTAGTACGAATATTCAAGCTTTAGAAAATGATAAGTTGTGAATACATCTGCGCCACTGTGACCGATTTTCAGCCATATCACTAGGTCCTACACCACTGATTTCTTTCATCTCCAGGGCCAAACTAGGCTGTCTTCATCTTCCCACATGTCTCACACTAACAGTTAGGGACTTCATCGACTGGTGCCATGTCTTGGTCTGGCCACTCTAAACCCTCTTCTCACCTAACCAAACTTCTTTTAACATGGCACGTCGAGGTAGACGGGAACGAGTATGCACAGTACATGTCCAAGTCATCTCAGTCGATGAAGGTTCACAACCTCACCGATAGACTTGTCTGTCTTGCCTAGTACCCTTTACCTGATCTCAACATTGCTCACATGGTAACTCCACTACACGCGAGCAATGCTACGAAGATATCTGTGATCGAAATCCAGTAACCCCTTCATGTTTTCTGCTTTTAAAGGCCATGTGTCACAGCCGAACAACAGAGTGGAACGAACTGCAGTGGAGTATACTCGTCCTTTGATTCATAGCTGGATATCTCGCCAGTTGGCACCATAGGTGACTCAAGTTGGAAATGCCATACGAGCCTCCTGTTTACCAGCTGAGATTTTGTCAGGAACCAATCCATTCGGGCTGATTCAAATTCCCAAGTAAGTGAAGTGGTCGACACATTCCACCATTTCACTTCCTATGGTTAAATTGAGAGTACTTCTAGCAGACCAGTCCTGGAGCATCATTTTACATTGGACAGGTATGAAGCACATCCCAAACCTACTAAAAATCTTTCTCAACGCGTTCAGAAGACCCTGCATTTTGTTAGCACCATCACCTAACAGGAGAATATCATCCGCATACTCCAAGTCAACCAGATAACCTCCAGAGACTAGGTCAAGCTATGTGAAGTTAGACGAACCTAAGGTTTTGTCCATTAGTACGTCTGTGACGGAGATGAATAAAAGCGGTGACAGTGGACATCTCTGACATATGCCACTACTTGTCATCAATTCACATGACAACTCTCCATAAGACTGCATGGCTACCTGAGTTCAAGTAAAGAGCTTTGATTAGCGTAATATGCCTTCTTGATACTCCCTACACAATCAAACACTGCCACAACACTTAACGGTCAGCTTAGTCAAATATCACCTTCAGGTCAAGAAATGTGGCAAGTATCGGCCATCGTTGAGCGTTTCTGTATTCCAGAACCTGCCGGAAGGTGGAAATTGGATTGTTGCACCCTCCAATGGCTGTGTCTGAAACCTATCTGGCTTTCTTGAGTTTGTTGTTATCGAGCTCCACTTATTTTATTCGTCCCTTGGATTCCTAGTGCAACATATGGCTTCAGTAGCACGTTGACATTGTACTCTATTCTCTGCAGTCTTTTCAACCTGGCTCAACCACTGCCCACAAGCTTCATATCAGTTGTCAGTGTCGTTTTTAGAAGCAGTGATTGTGATTTATGTTTTTAAGTATTTCTTTTTCTAGTCTCATTACCTGCCATCTTTTGCACCAAACCTAGAAATTGTCTGACTCAAGCTTTCAAGTAATAATAATGATAGTCATTATTATTATTTGTCCTTCAGATACCCTTAGTAGAACAAAGGGCTTCAGTAGCACGTCGACATTGCACTCTGTTCTCTGCAGTCTTTTCAACCTGGCTCAACCACTGCGCACAAGCTTTCATTTCTTCCTCACACCATCTCCTCCATGTCACCCTCAAACACCAAACTCGTCGTTTCGCCTTTGGATTCCACTCGAGGGTCTGGTCTGGCCTTTCCTGGCCTGGCGTGTGATGTCCCCAGCCGGTCTTCTCAGTGTACGCCCAATTCAACCCATCTCGACTTTCTTCTGCATATTTGTTGGGTGATGGGTTCTTGGTTGGCTGGTTGTCAGGTCCGAGTTCCTTGTTGCTTATTCTTATTATTCTGTCCATCTGACCTTCAGTGTCAGTATGGAGTGAGCGTAGGCGGCAGCTGTTGATGTGTGTCTGTAGTTTGTTGGGAATGCTTTTCGTGACGCGCCAATTTTCTGAACCAAGCATATAGAAGCAGTGACTTGAGTGACTTAGTGTTGGGAATCGGGATTTTGTTCAGGCTTTATGCTGAGTGCAATGTAGTGTAGTGCAGTGGATCTCCTCACTGATCTGATTTCAGGTTAGTGAAGGCCTGTGTTACTGTTACTGTCTTTCGGATCCTGGCTGGCTTTGACATCGTCATGTGTGCCTGTGCTGCCTGTAGTTGAAACGATGCTGTCTGGGAAGGTAGGTAGGTAGGTAGGTAGGTGAAAGAGTCAATTTTCTTTAGGTTTCTCCCGTTGATGGTGATTGGTGCTCACTGTTGTTTGGTGGTTGGGTATCTTCTTCACCTCTGTCTTCTCTACGTTCACCTGAAGGGAGTCCCGTCTTCCTTCACTGCCTCTCCTCTTCTGTCGACTTGTTAGTTTTCGCCAGTAGATCTTCTAGCTTGTCCGACATTAGACATAAATTGTCATCGGCTAAATCCAAATCTTCTTCTGAGGTGATTTCATCGGTCCAACCGGCGTATGTCTCTCTTCTCGATCCTCATAGTTTGTTGGATGGGCGAGTCTAGTCTACCACAATCAGGAATATGATGGATGATATTGGTCGGCAGCCTTGTCTTACTCCTGTCTTCACTTCAAAGGCATCACTGAGCTTTCCATTGTGAATCAGTTGGCTGGCGTGTAGCATGATCTCATCATATAGCTGTTGAATGAGGTTGATAAAGGTTTGTGACACTAAAAGCGTAGTGTTTAAGCAGCTGTCTGTCAAATTACTTTTCGGTCGAGGCTGTCGAAGGTTTTTTCCAAGTCGATGAAGTTGAGTTAATTGCAATTGTAAAGTGTGTTCTATGATGCTGCGTAGCGTTGCAGTTTGACCCGCAGATGATTTGTTATTCGTGAATCTAGCCAGCCAGCAGCTAGGCAGCTAGGCAGCCTGTTCCGGTCATAATGCAGTTGAATGAGGAGCATTGTTCGGTCTCTCTAGGATGATACAGCTTAGTATTTTCGTTTGATCAACAGGTGTTGATCTCTTATCTCGCAGATAGTAAACGTGATTATGTGATGTGATGTCAGGTCTCTCCTATCTGCAGTCTGTTGTGCTTCACTTGCATGTGTATCATAGAAGTGTCTTTTTCTTTCCATGCACTTTTCTTTGCTTCTTTGTCGCCTGAAAAATAATTTTGATGGCGTTTTCTGTGCTGGGGTTTTGTTTATTACTGATTGCATTTGTTGGTAGAATTCCTCCTCTTGATCTGTATTAGTTGTAGATGCGTAGCGTTGCATTTTATGGACATTCCATGTCCCCATGTTTAATTTTGCTTTCATCTAGAGTGGAGAAGACAAATCGGCGAATTGGCTTCTCGAAGTCTTTCACCAACCGACTTTACTTTACTCTCCCCGATTCCAGTGAAGAATATGTTTGGTTTCATTATTTTTTTGTTTTTTTTTGAAGTTTATTTAACAATTGGATTGGTTTTGCTGGGTTGTGTTGCTATCCCTATGCCTCGACGTCCGTCTTTATCCGGGCTTACGAACGTCTAGTAACTAGCGAACTAGTAAAGTAGGCGCTGTTCGAGCTCCCCTAAGGTATCGAATAACTATGGACTTTAGGATCTTGGACACAATTTTAATGAGATTGATTTCCATATGTTTCTCACAAGATCTCCCAAACTAGTTATAGACTGCTGTGATCAGTGAAGTACACCAGTTTGACGGGACTACCTCTAAGTCCCACACCTTACCTAATATCTCCGTCACTTTAACTAGCAATTTCCCAAATCCATCTTTGAAAAACTTGGGTGGCAAACTGTCAAATCTTGCTGCTTACCATGCCTTAAGGTTCGATACAGCTTTCTCACTTTCAAAAAGAGTTGGAGAAGATACATCTACGACACATTCGGATTCGGGCTGGCTGGATGTTGGGCAACTAAATAGCCTTTGAGGGCCAATGTAACTTTGCTTCAAAGTGTTTCGCCCAATGCTCTAGCCGCCTGTCTCTGGATGTTATCAGCATCACATCCTTTTCAGTGATGGTTTCAGTAACCACTGTCTCCATCTTGCCAGTATCAGTATCTATAATAAGCATAAACAGTTGCCGAGTGTTACCCAACGCTGATGTCTCCTCCATCTCTATCGCTCTCGCCACCCACCACTGTTCGTGATCATCGCGAAGACTCTTGGTCAACTCACGTCTGAATTGCTTTCGCTCCTTATCGTGGTCAGAACCAGCTGGAATCAGTCTTCTCACATCAATCAGCTCGGACGATGTCGTGGGAATCCAGTGACGTTTGTTAACCTTCGGGTGTAAGCTACCAACTGTCCTCACCACTGATTCTACAGCAGACTGAATATCAGTCCAGGTTTCCTCAGAATGAGCATTGCTGTCATGTTCAGATAAATGCTTAGCTATCTCTTCCCTGAATGCGCACTTGGTGTCCGCATCTTCCAGTCGATCATCGAAAGGCGTTATAATCTCCTATTTCCTGCAACCAGTAAAACACAGACATACATGAGCCTGTACTAGAGCGTGATCGGAGTTGAAACTGGTACTCCATGAGGGGTGGTAATCCTCGACTGATCCTCTACAACGATGGCTCATAACAATATGATCTACCCGTATCCATCTTTGGTTTGGTGTTGGTGGACGCCATGTGGGACAGTATCTCTCCTTGTGCTTGAAGTTAGTGCTGGCCAGACACAAGTGGTTGTCAGAGCGACATTGTGTCAGACAACGAACTTCTGTCAATTCGTTGGCATGGGATTTCGTAGATCCCTTCAAGATGCCTTTCCGATTGGCTCAGCTTCCCTACCTGAGATATGAAGACACCTGTCGTTATGATTACATCTGAACGTTTTGCTTTGTGTAGCAAAGTTGACAGCTTCTCGTAGAATTTGTCCTTCGGATCATCCGAGCCACAGTCGGTGGGTGTGTAGGTGGAGATTATGAATAGGCATCGGTCGGTCTCACGATCGTTCCTGATCCTTATAGATCCACTCAGTCGAACAGCACATGGATGGCTGTTGACTGATATCCAGTCAAGAAGCGCATGTTTTGCTCTACAGCTCAATGCTATGCCTACACCAGTGAGTCATGACAGCTAATCATTGGGTCCCCGCATACTCTTCAGGTGAATTTTGAGGCTTCACTGATGTGACCAAGTGAGACCAAGTTAATAATTACATTCATGTTTCTTCGACATAGCACACATCAGTGGTTAGGGATTCCTGTGTTTGGCGATCGATGCTTCATGTCCGATTTGGCGTATAATTCGGACGTTGAGAGCTCGTGCATGAAATCGATGGTGGGGTCTTAAGAGACTAGGAATGGGGTTTCACTATCTTTGATCGTTGGCAATAGTTCCAGCTTGAGAGACGTAAGAGGCCTAATATTGATATCAGGAGGCGAAGGAGGAGAGATAGTTGAGGGGTATAGGTTATGTTTCATTATGTCTTGTGTACCACTGGCAGATTGCGGACGGTTGACAGTTCTTACCTGCCTACATCATGGGAGCCTATTTCTTCTCTAGGAAAAAAATGTTTGTGACCGTGGAGCCCATGGGACATCCGCTCGAGGCCTGTTACACACTGCCTTCTAGAGGTTGTTTCGACGTTTGGTTGTTCTAACGCCGGCACCAGAAGACCGTAAGTCATGGTGACGTGTGTTGTTTTTGGGGCTGACTTTTTTTAACTCCCCTTTCTTTTGAGAAGGCAGCATCATCGTTGTACTGCTGGTCTTTGAAGAGAAACACCTCACTGCTTTCACACCGCATCCAGTTACCAGCAGTACGACTTTTCCTTCAGACCTACATCATAGTGCAGTAATTTACACTACAACAGTAACTGCTTTTCGTCTAACCACTATCCAACAAACCTTTCTGACATGGTAGGACCTCAAGGGAATAAGGGTTCCACCATCATAGCTCGGTAGGTGATTGTGATATGCAAGCTTGACCACCACTTCAATGTAGCAGCTATCGGTCGGGTTACTACCGCTATTTTTCCATCTAGCCTTTTTGATGAATGAAGAGTGAATAAACTCATACCGAAGTGTTCTGTTTTGAGGTATAGTGGATCTGGATCTGATAGCCTTCACATCTTATACGTTCGAATGATGGTTTGTAGCACGGTTGATTGCTTGGTTGGTTTCCTGATTGGATCATAAAAAGCCAACGTCTAGATAATTTGCCTAGTAGAACTCGAAATCGGTTGCTCTGGCGTAGAGATTCTACATGCTGTCTCTCAACAAATCTTGAATATATATCCTTTGTTCCTATATTGACTTTTTATTCTTACCTTATTCGGCGTATCTACTCTTGTTATCCATGTTTTCATTCTAATGTTTTGTCTGTACTATGATCACAATGTGAGCAGTTATGAATTCCTCTTGGTCTCTTATATTGTTTGTGTGTTAGTCGCATTGGAAACTTGGTCGATAGAATTTTTAAAAGCACCAAAGAGTAGGTGACAGTTATTACTATATCTAAGCGATAATCGGTTGATGTAGACGCACTCAACTTTCCTTCAGGAGGTCAAAAGGTTTTACCCAGCTCCACTTTCTGAAGCGTGGACAACCAGGAAGTGTTGTTAGATTATATGTCAAGAAGTATCTAAAATTTTATAGCCCCTTTACTTGGACATCCAAATGGTTGCTGAATTGATTGACTCAGTGGATGATAAGTAATCAGAGTGTTTGACGTTCTATAACTTAACCAATCAACAGCTTAAATGAGCACTTTTTTTGTTATTTCTCTGTATACTTCGACTTGAATTATATTTATTTGAATTGTATAACCGTCCGTACAAAACCTAATTCAACAATTTGTTTTGAAAGCAGATAATAAAATTAATCCCGAATCTTTGATAAGACACTGACAACGTTTGTAGCTCAGGTGAATATTCCCTAAATTAGTGTTTTCTCATTCTTTACATATTTGAAATACTGGTGTATACTATTAACCAGTCATTTTCAATTTTCAGTTTCAATCGATTGGAAAACTTTTGAGTGTCATAAAATATACCGTAAAGCAATAAAGGCCTCAAATTCTTGTTTTGAATATCTCTGTAAGAAACGGTACACCTAGGTACGTTTATCATGTAATACCAAAGTTAGTTTTTCTTTGAAGTATTTATAATGAACATTCTAACCCTATCAACCTACTCTTCATCAATTTCATGAATGTTTCCATTGTTTTTATATCCTTACTGTAGCTGTATATCTGTCATGAATTTACTTTCATAAGTTAAATTCTAGCCTATTTTAATTCTTTTGAACTTCGATTTAAGTTTCTAAACATTAAGATGAAGTTTGAATTTATAAACCTGAAATGAAACTCGACACGACTAAGATTTATTGACCTGGTACATATATTGATGTAACCCAAAATTTCCTTTTGAATTCAAGCTTAATTCTACCAAACGATGATATAAGTAGCAATATACCAGGTTTGTTGAAATCAGTTCATATTATTCAATTCCCTCCAGCATAGGAAGTTCACAACTACTTCTATGTCCAAATAATTATTCACTTCAGTTGTCTCCTGTTTATCGTTTCTGTCCTATCAATTCTTCAGAAAAATCAAACCGTCACAGTTATTGTTCAATTATTTTTAGGTACTAGTAAAAATTATCTGTTAGGAATTATCGTAGCTTTCCAAAAATTTGATTTAGAACAATTCTAAAAAGAATTCATTTTCATCATCATTTTAGCGTTTTCAAGTCTGATTAAAGATTTCAAATTAGATGTGTTTATTTGATATATATTGCTCAGTGATACAGTATTACTTACTTGATGACATTTCGGGCATAAATTATTAGTCTTAATCATACTAATGTAATCATAGTTTTCGACATCTGACTTTTACATTCCTATCACCTCATATTCTTTGTTTTTATTGGTAGTTAAATTCTGGAACACTTCACGATTTTGCGTGTCATCCTTGCTAATCTTCTTTGTATTCCCGAAGCGAGTAGTTAAATTTTCCATATCTCTGGGTGTAGATTTGATGAACAAAGATTCAGTAATCAATCTCTCCACCTAATTATACTGGAATTAAGTAGAGGAGTTTTATCTTACCCTATTTTGTGGTTGTGTGTTAATGCATGCATCGCAGTAGCCGAATGTTTTTTCTAGATCAATGATCCTATTGGGGCCTGTCATTTTATATTTAGCTAAATTCCTGTGTTCCGTTGTTCTAACTGACCCCGACTGGTTAGTTTGACCTATGTACTTGACCTCACAATCATTACATGGATCCAATTCAACAGAATAATCAGATCTACCAAATCCCAAGTGATCTAATTACATGTCAATATTATAAATTTCGCAACAAAAACAGAACTTCACAGGTGTTTGAAAAACAGCAGATGGTGCCTTAAAATAAATCATGTCCATCGACTTACTGGATATTAAAAAACCTAAGTTCCCGGTTTGCACTCGTATTCAATTTCACTTTCCTCCTCTCTGGATTAAATATCATGAAAATATAGTCCAATAAATAAGTAATACTTTATCGCTGTATCAAATAAATTATTAAGTATGGAATTGCTTTGCATTGAACGTTATAACTCATATTGAACATTTTATTGATATCTTTTTCCAAAGCTTTAGGGAGTGCAAAACTGTACACCACTAGTAGGATGAACTGTTTTTCTTATATTTCTTATTTTCTTTATGCAAATGATAAATCTTCGCTTTGATAATGTGATAGACAACTGTATGCTTCTAATCAATTTGTGGATATTCAAACTAGGTTGGTATAAGATGCATATTTCATGCTCCAGTGCTTAGTATTTCAAAGATCTTTGAGAGTAACAACAATAATCGTTTTATTCTAAACAGCATGCGCGATACAGTATGGAATACTCAGCATGACCACTTTATTTCAAACATTTAAAATATTGGAAAGACAGATTATTTACTGTTGCAAAGTTGATAAGTGAGTTTTGGTCTAACACTTTGCCTCACATAATATCTATGCTGGGTAAGGTACAGTCGAATTCTTGTATTTAGCTGTATAAGCGTACAGTCTTCTTGTCCTCCCTGAGGAGATACAAGTAGAGAGCTGTGAATGCTGAGCGTCAGTTAAAATTACTGTAGCTAGTTGCCTGGTAGAATTTAAATTCTGTCAATTGCACTGTTAATCAGAGGCTTAGCATTTACCCTACTAATGGCTTTCAAAGCCATACACAAAATAACATAGTCGTTTTTTAGTAGACCAGGAAACGCCATCGGGGAACAATGAAGAAGAATAGGTAAAATGCAGGAGTTAATAATTTATAAAAGTAGAGGCTAAGTTATACCAGAGTCTGAGTCTCTTTATGTAGTACGTGAAATGATGATGGTTGGAGCATAAATTATTGCTCACAATACCAACGTGATATGATTATGAACAATAATTTATGCCCGAAATGTCGTCAGGTAAGTAATACTCTACCTCTGTGTTATAAATCAAATAAATAGACCTAATATAGAATTATATTCTACCAGTATACCAGGTTTTACACCCGTTAAAGATTTTGGCATCACAAACTCACACTTAAGGGTTAATTGATCATCCCCCTCTCTTTCTATTTCGCCTCTAGCCTGTTCTGATTTCTTGATAACTGTACCACGGAGTCTCTTCAGTCTACAGTTGAGTTTTATCATTCGCATCATACGAAAATCGCTACTGTAACCCTTTCACTGAAAATGATTTCTGTTACTGCTGTAATCTGAATAGTTGACGAATTTTTCTTACTTGAAAGTGGGTGCGTTAATTTGCATACAAAGGATTTTCTTGAAATTTTGTGTAGTAAGAAAATAGAATGCGAAAGTTTTCATTGACTAAGCTTCAAAAGTGGTATCTTTCCTAATTTTTTGTCAACATTTCCGATACGTGCAAGTTACTACCTTCTAAATAATAAGTAGTAGGTGCATGAAATTGTGCTTTACATCCGCTTCTGTCCAGCATGAATGGGATGTGTATTACTTCAAAACAACATGGTACCAATGTATTTGTTTGCTTCAAAATCAACATTCATATTACACTAAGCATATTTTCCTCCCTCTTTCTTCATTTCTTTGTAACCATTTTTGACGCAGATGGTCGACTCTCAGCCAGTAGCTTCGAAAGTTGCAGCTGACGATTCATCGCCATTAAAACTACAGGTTAGTGATGCTTATTTCCTGGGTAAATTGTCTGAAATAAATCAATAAAGATTTAGAATAGCACAATGAGTTTGGAATGTTATTCACCCTGAAACATGATTCTTGTCTGTGACTGGGATGCATCAATTATGGAAATGGAGTGGTGGCATATTGAAAGCCTGAATTGTGATAATATTCGAACTAGCGGTTTCTGGATGTGATGCTCTACCAACTGAGTCACAAGACCCAGCTGCTCTCCAGATCTTAACTTTACTACAGTCACCGAGGTTTTTGTGTGGCTGTCATGTAAATACGTGAAACGTGAATGTCCGTTCGTCATCATCACTAGCTTCCAACACAATCCTCGCATCCCAATGCTAGTTGAACTTTCATACGTGATAACAAAGTAACTATTTGTATGATTAATACTACCGAAATTGTAAGCTGCTGATCAGTTTGTATTGAACCTTCACTGCATACTTATCTGTCATAAACTAATTCTTCCCACAATTCCTACACCCGTCATCGATCAATGCTTGTAGAAATGATTTTACTATGGTTTCTGTTTCCCTAGATATGATAATCTCAGAAATCCTATCGAAATGAATTTATCGCTTGCCATATAATTATGAACTAGTCAATCATTAAGGCTCCTTTTACCTTAGAATCATAGTGGTAACTGACCTTTGTCTTTGAGAAACATTTTCTGTACTGAATCGAAATCTTAAATAGATTATCTTAACCTGATTTCAACGCTAAAACTAATTCGTCAGCATCTAATTATCCGAACACTCTTTGTTTAATCATTACTTTAGAGTAGTGTTTTCTTACATTGTTTATGTCTTGTGGTTAGTGAAAAACTTACATTGTTCTAAATAAAAATTCCTCTAAATTTTATAGTTTAATAGACTTTAAAACTGTTGAGCTGGTGATCGCTGTAAACGGATGTTTGTCTTGGTTGAAGGTTAGAAAAAGAATCATACTCATGTTCGATTAGTTTGTTTTTCCATAGCACACAGTGATACAGTATTATTTACTAAATGACGTCTGGAGCACAGTTTATTGTTGCATCACTGTGTTCTTTGTTCAGTAGACTCATATAATATAGTTATACTCCACCATAATATCCAGATTCTACACTTACATTAAAGAATTTTAGTGTTCTGTATGTCAGCAGTAAAATGGAATATTTTGCTTCACTTAGTCATACACTAATCATACTGTTTTTAAACCGAACAATGCTCAGTCAATGAAGTCTGAGCTCCTAAAAATTATTTATTCGAGAGCCTTTCTTTCTCATATTCTTTTGACTATGATACCAGTGAAGCAGAAGCATTTTACCTGCAATGCAAGAGACAGAACTTGCAGTACTCTAATCATTTTTAAATAATTTGATAATACCATCCATAGGAAAACTAAGACTCAGTCATCATATACCTATTATTGTACAAGCCACTGAAGACTAACTACACATCAAAGTGGGTTGGGTTGGTTCTAAGTTATTACTAATTGGTTGGAAATTAGATGTCAGGACTACTGAGTTTATATATATCACAATCTATATGGTATCAGTTAAGTCCGGTACAAAAATGCCAGCAAAATAAATTATCCTTAGTGAAACTTGATAACACTAGAATCTGTGCAACAAGTGTGTATTGTTTTGTGGAATGTGTATGATTTTTAGATTAGAAAGTAATAATGAATAGTTTATACAAGACTATTGTAGTTGTTTCATGAAATAAACAAAGAAAAGAATGTAACACACTTTATTATCAGGAATTAATAATTATGTAAATGCCATAATTTATTTGGCTTTCTTGTTAATTATATTCTGATAATTGTTTTACTTAAAAAAATTTTATTTCATGTTTCAGATCATCTGATAAAATACTCGACTGGAATGTATCTTGATTTGTACTGAAATACCTTGACACATTTTTCTTTGAGTGAATAATTCACCTAGTAGTGTTTCTGGAGTCATCTTTTAGAAATATCTGATGATGTAGGCCATTATTATTTTTTTTATTTATTAAATCATACGCTTTGGAAATCATGTCAGTCGCAGACGTTTCTTTTCCCTTTGTTTTGTGGCTTCATTCGACTGCTGATTTTATTTTCTCCTGGCTTACTTTCGTCCCATTTGACCGTTACCAAAGCATGCTGCGTCTCATATTGCTAACATATTTTTGCTAGAATTAATGAAACTGAGCATCAACTGTACATCACATGCTTTTACTTATGTCTTTCGTTGCTGATCGCCTTTAATGTTCATTTCTACCGACTTGATGTAAACTGATTTACACTGGAATACTCTACTCTACTAAATATCCGTGACTACTTGAATGCAACCTGTTAGATATTACCTATCAACTTCTTTTACTTAAGCTGATCATCTATTTCCTAGTTTACATCGTTATTCATACAATGTTATACGTATACAAATGTTAAGGTAAATTCTATGGTAATTTTATTTCATAAGTGAGGACAACCTTAACCAGTAGGTGACAATCGGAGAAGACTTAATCCTTAGGTGGAATTTCTGAAATTATGCGTTTATTTTTATTTTTTTTCTCAGTAACTATCTAACTATCGATTTGTTTTATCATCCAGATTAATCACTGGTTTGCTGTTTCATCATGGAAGTGGTGTACCAACGATGATGACTGTGGTATCTGTCGGAACGCATTTGAAGCATGTTGTGCTGATTGCCTGCTACCAGGCGATGATTGTCCATTAGTTTGGGGACAGTGTAACCATTGCTTCCATATGCATTGTATTATCAAGTGGTTAAATAGTCAGCAATCAACTCAACATTGTCCTCTCTGTAGACAAGAGTGGCGATTTAGAGAATAGATTTTAATTTCATTATTTTCGAATCCCTTGATTTTTTCCTTTGTTCTCCGGGGTCAAACTTAGAAAGCAACCTGTCATCCCACAATCACAAAACTGTATGTTATAGCAGTGTTTCTATTCAGGTTCCAGTGACAGTCTTTTTTTCCGTTCACCACTCAGCTAATTATGTGACATTACGATGCACCGTATTTTAGCGTTAAGTGAGTGGGATCAAGTCCTACGTTTTTATGAAATGTTAATTGGTGGGTTGAAAACGTGACCACCTCGTTTTTATGTGTGGCGAAACAATGACTATTGTTTGACTTTTATCTACTGTGGTGAAATTTTGTGAGCATACACGAAAATTATTTCTGATCAGTTTTTAAAAGGCCTCTTGCTCATCACGATATGTGACTGGTACTCACTGAGTACATATGGATAAATGTTGCACGCCTACAAAATGCACATCATATTGTGCAGAATCTGGTTAAGCAAATAATGGATTTTCGATGTCATTGAGATCTTGCTACTAACTTAGTGAATCTGCCTGTAAAATAATATATCGTAGTAATTATATTATGGTAATTTCAAAAGATTGGTTTCGTGAAGACTTGAGATAGCTCAAACACCTAACCCTTTGCTTCATGAATAACGACCCCTACTTCACCAAAACATGCCCAGCCGGAAATCAGATTTGATGATAAGGTTTTTTTTGACTAATTACCAGCAACTGATTGATCGAAATTATAGTCATCGATTTTCGGTTTAGACAAACCAAATATCTTAGGCCTTTAACACAACTACCATTTTTAGGGCATTATATGTGTTACTGTTTGCAGTCAACCGTCCAACGGGTGTATATCACCCTGTCTATCAACACGCAAACGCAAATCTCTTCATTTACACTTGGATAGGGGATCATAAAACTACCTAGATACGTTAGTTTTTTGATGACTGTTGCTCATGTATTTGTCAATCCTTAGAAATTGGCACGAGTTATTTGAGTCGCGTTAGGATGCCTTCAGTACTTGGAGTTCTTCCTCAATCTACATCGGGTTATGTGAGTCAGTGACCATGCAGCACAGAAGACAGGTTGAACTTTCTGGAACAGAAGATGAGCTGAATTTCTTTCGAATACTCCACCGAGAATACCAGTTGGTTTTAAAGATTGTTGATTCTCATACTTCTTTCTTCAAACGTATGTTCTGTTGATATCGTAGTTCTTTCTCTCGGTCTGTCGAATGAGCTGTATCTGTTGCCTTTAGAGTTTATGCTTTCATCTTACTAGTAGGTTTGGAAGACTAGCTCTTACGTAAGAACTGTATCATGAAATTATGCATACCGTTGTACTCGTCAACTGAGTGTAATCGATTTCCCTACATCAACCTGTTTTAATTGCCACCAAAATTTCTAATAAACTTAACAAAACAATTCGCTTCAGAGGACGTGATAGCTCTGAATATACCCTAATCATCTCTAGTTAATTTCAATGTAATATATTTTAGTCCAAGCTTCAGCGTTGGAAAAACGATGTCATTTAGCTCAACGATGATATCTATGCCTTAAGCTGGTGCTGGCTAGAAAAACAGTTCTACCGGGTTTGTTGCTCACTTTGAATTCACATGTCATACCACTTGTATTTTATGCAACTGAATGTTACAGCGGCGCTGAAATCGGGTGTACAAAGCATAAATAATTTCAAGATAAATGTCACCAGGCTATTTTCCTTACTCTCATAGACTTATACATTAGCTGCTGTTTGCGAAGTTTTCTTGACAGATAGCGTAGTAGTAGCTATAGATTCGAATGCGCATGTAGGCATCTTATTATTGAGGAAGTTCGCATAAGCGATCAATAAAGACTATTAAGTCGCAAGTCAGATAGTATGATCCATGTCATATAACTTTGCTTAGACTACAACCTATTTCTCACCGGTAATGCGTAAGGACACGTTCTGATTTTGATATACCCCTGAGAGTTACGCTCGTTGTGTTACGCCAAATAATTCAAACTCCCTATAATTACCAAACCTTTTGAATTTGGTGTTTTCATTAGGATGGAGTATTCACGTGGATTCTTCATCTTTTCAAGAGTAGTGTGTTTACTGAGTTATGTTGCGAGTGCATGAAAGAATACCGCTGATGTACGAGAAAGTTATATGAACTCCAAGACATACTCACTTCGAAAAGGAAAGTGACATGTAACATGCCTATCGATAGCTTTCCTCATGAAGTTTGCGTGTGAGCGTTTAAGTTAAAACCCAGTTTTATCAGCAGCTTTTGTGTAACGAAGTTGTACCTTTTTTTACCTTTGTTTTACTGCATATCGTTTTTGGTGCATTCCTTATGATTCAGCATATAATACGGATTTCTTCATTTTTGAATGTGAATTTCACTATGCTTGTTAGAACTACCTTTGTGGACAACTTAACTAAAATTCCTCTGCAATGTGACAAATATGGTATGGTTGTATTATCCATGAGCTGGATTAACACTTGTAACTTATAACCTATGTAGCCTACCTGCCCTTCCTAGACTATGCAACTTTTTGTAAACTATTGACCGTACCGGTCCGAAGAACTATCTATTGATTGTTCTATAGCAAAAACTCATTTGATATTATTGACAAAATCACGACAATTTTTTAGCTAGTCGATGGCAGCTCTTCTCATAGATAACAAAATACTTTGGGAAAATAAAGCTGCAAAGAATGTTGTATTATGGTTGGATGACAGCATACCTTAGTTCGAAATCTCATTCCCTTGACCAGAAAGAAGTCGAGAAAAGATAGCAAACTGACTTGACAAAACCTGATGAAATTCCAATCATTTCACCAGTTAACCTTGTACACTGACTGTATCAAGTAGCTCAAATCAAATTGATTCTTCTGTAGACATGCAGTTACCCTACCCTAAATACATTAAAGGATCAAAATAGGAGTAGGCGGTCAACCAGTCGCTAACAATGTACAAAACAATACGCGTGAAAAACTGAAATTATTATTTGACCCTTGGATTCCTAGTGCAACATGATGCTTCAGTAGCACGTCGACATTGTACTCTGTTCTCTGTAGTCTTTTCAACCTGGCTCAACCACTGCCCACAAGCTTTCATTTCTTCCTCACACCATCTCCTCCATGTCACCCTCAAACACCAAACTCGTCGTTTCGCCTTTGGATTCCACTCGAGGGTCTGGTCTGGCCAGGCGGCGCGTGATGTCCCCAGCCGGTCTTCTCAGTGTACGCCCAATTCAACCCATCTCGACTTTCTTCTGCATATTTGTTGAGTGATGGGTTCTTGGTTGGCTGGTTGTCAGGTCCGAGTTCCTTGTTGCTTATTCTTATTATTCTGTCCATCTGACCTTCAGTGTCAGTATGGAGTGAGCGTAGGGGGCAGCTGTTGATGTGTGTCTGTAGTTTGTTGGGAATGCTTTTCGTGACGCACAAATTTTCTGAACCAAGCATATAGAAGCAGTGACTTGAGTGACTTAGTGTTGGGAATCGGGATTTTGTTCAGGCTTTATGCTGAGTGCAATGTAGTGCAGTGCAGTGTAGTGCAGTGGATCTCCTCACTGATCTGATTTCAGGTTAGTGAAGGCCTGTGTTACTGTTACTGTCTTTCGGATCCTGGCTGGCTTTGACATCGTCATGTGTGCCTGTGCTGCCTGTAGTTGGAAGGATGCTGTCTGGGAAGGTAGGTAGGTAGGTAGGTAGGTAGGTAGGTAGGTAGGTAGGTGAAAGAGTCAATTTTCTTTAGGTTTCTCCCGTTGATGGTGATTGGTGCTCGCTGTTGTTTGGTGGTTGGGTATCTTCTTCACCTCTGTCTTCTCTACGTTCACCTGAAGGGAGTCCCGTCTTCCTTCACTGCCTCTCCTCTTCTGTCGACTTGTTAGTTTTCGCCAGTAGATCTTCTAGCTTGTCCGACATTAGACATAAATTGTCATCGGCTAAATCCAAATCTTCTTCTGAGGTGATTTCATCGGTCCAACCAACGTATGTCTCTCTTCTCGATCCTCATAGTTTGTTGCATGGGCGAGTCTAGTCTACCACAATCAGGAATATGATGGATGATATTGGTCGGCAGCCTTGTCTTACTCCTGTCTTCACTTCAAAGGCATCACTGAGCTTTCCATTGTGAATCAGTTGGCTGGCATGTAGCATGATCTCATCATATAGCTGTTGAATGAGGTTGATAAAGGTTTGTGACACTAAAAGCGTAGTGTTTAAGCAGTTGTCTGTCAAATTACTTCTCAGTCAAAATGGATGAATTTGACGTAGAGTTAACTGCCATTCTACGCTCTATTCTATGATGATGCGTTGCCTTGCAATTTGATCCGCATATTACTCGTTATTCCTGAATCCAACCTGTTCCGGTCGTGATGTTGAATCCAGCGCATCTTTTATTGTCACCAGGATGATACTGCTTAATATCTTGCTTGGGGTCGACAGGAGAATGATTACGCTCCAGTTCTTGCAGAGACTCAGATCTCCGTTGTTTGGGAGTTTGACAAGGTAAGGCTTCTTCCAAACAATCTTCAGGTACCTTTCCTTCCTTCCTTTCGAACCTTGTGCAACATTGGTGTGAGTGTGTGCACTGTTGTTTGTGAGTCTGTTTTCAGTGCTTGTAGAGGAATTCCATCTGGTGCTGCTGCTTTCCATATTTCAGTAGCTTTATGGCATTCAGGACGACTTGTGTTGGAGGATTTATGTTCACTTGTACTTCAGCGGCGGTAGGAATTTCGGGTGGTGGTGGTGTTGGTGGTTGATTCGTGAGTTTTTCGAAGTGGTCAGGCCATCGTTTCCTTTGTTTCTCCTCTTTGATGGTAACTAGGTTTCCTTCACTATCTTTCATTGGTTTCATCTGTGTTGATCTCTCATCTCGCAGATAGTAAGCTGGTTATTTGATGTGATGTTTTCAGGTCTCTGTCCCTCCTACCTGCTGTCTGTTCTGCTTCACTTGCAAGTGTATCGTAGAAGTGTCTTTTGTCTTTCCGTTCACTCTTCTTCACTTCCTTGTCCAGTGCTTTAAAGGTTGTACTCAGTTC